AAAGTCTTTAAAGACAAATAAATACATAAAAGAAAAGAACGTATTTGGTGCTGTGGTAGACACTGCACCAGTGTCCTCCATTCTCGGCCTTCCACTTCCCCAGCCCAGGGGGTCTGGGCTGCCTCGGCCCTGAGGGCACAGCACTGTGAAGGAGTAGGCAGACGGCGGTGGGCCTGCTCTGGGCCCCCTGGGTGCGTCGCCCCCCCAGAGCCCCCCCCCACCACCACGAGGCAGCTGCGGGATGGTGGGAGTCTCGAGCCCCATTGCTCCACCAGCGAGCCACCAGATTCATGAGGGAGGCCACACACAGGGCTGGTGTCCCGATGTGTCCACGAGCGTGTTGAGAGCAGCAGGCCTGCCCGGACTCACGAGCAGGGGCCCACGCCCATTGACGAGGGCCGCCCGGTTTCGCGGTGGGTAACAGCATCCTCGTGACACTCCAAGCCTAGCACAGATACGCTACCTGATGCGAGAACTGCCGCACTTGGGCAGGTCACCTGTTCAGGGAGAACAGCCCAGGTCCCCGCTCATACCTGAGGCAGGATGGTTACACGGAACGACTGGCTGGAGTTCTCGTCTCTCAGGTAGATGGAGATTTTTGGGAAGTAAGACCAAGGTGTCTCCGAATTGGTCCAACAAGCCAGCTGGGACCCGGTCCAGAAACCATCAGAGAATTCTGGAATCTGGACAGAACGAGATCACGTGAGGAAGCAGGACTACTCTGGCACATCAACAGGAAGCAGCTCCCAGCTCCCCTCGACACCTCGCTAGACGCCCGCGGTGGTAAACCATGTTTCTCTTGGACGGCGTGGCGGGGACAGCAGTCCTCTGGAAGGGGACCGGTGATGACAAATTCACGGCTGTCAAGATCACCCAGGCACGCAGAGTACTGACTGATGTCGGACTCAGCAGCCAGCCCTCTGCAGCACTGATTACTTTAATTCTCACAAACCCCCATGGGCACAGTAGCAGCACTCCCGCGCCCCACATTAGAGATGAGGAAACAAGAGCACACAGAGGGGAAGCCACCTGCCCCAGGTCTCGGTAGTGGGCAATAGCCCTTTAGAAGAGAGGCTACATCCCACATGTGGCCCTCTAGACTGCTTTGGGCATCACCTCTCCTCTGAATTTCGAGCACAGCACTCTGCCCCCTGGTGTAGAGTCTTCCCACTACCCCCTGGGGGCGGGGGAGGTCCCTGCAGTGCCAGAATATCTTTCTCCTCCTCCCGGCATCAGCTCAGACTCCACCTTCCGGGAAGCCCTCCCCACCCTGCTGATGTCCCACCATGTAGCTCTTCCCCGTGGTCCTTCTTCCTTTAACAGCTGTAATTTGACATTTATGGGTGTAACTGCTTACCTTCTCTTTCCTGCACGGTGATCTGAGTCCTTGAAGGACAGAGATATATTGTCTGCCCACCTTACAGTTCTAACACCTAGCCCACAGGAGAAACCCAGGAAATATTTGTGGGAAAAATGAACAGCCAAGAACACAGAGCGCACACCTGAGCCTCCCAGCAGGGGTCGGCTGAACCTGAGGAAGAGCGATGCCACCTGCACATGCCCTCTAGGCGCTCAGTCCGCAAGGTACCCACAAATAACTCCCGCCACCTCACCAGGGCAAGGAACAGTTTTGAGCAGACCTACCCTGCACACGCTAGCAGCGTAGGCGATGGGGGCGGAGCTAGGAGAGTATGGGGTGGGGCGGAGCTAGGGGCGGGGTGGAGCTAGGAGTGGACGGAATGGGGCGGAGGTAGGGGCAGGATGGAGCGAGGAGTGGAAGGGATGGGGCGGGGCTAGGAGAGTCCTGACCTGGAGTGAGGGGTGACTATCAAGGGAGCGTCCCTGAAAAGCTGAAGTCAGCTAAGGGCCAGGAGCAGTAGGGGATGAGCCTGAGGGCGGGCGGGCCGTGCACAGAAGCTGCCTCACTGTACAGACCAGATGGCAGCCGTGGAGGCAGGAGCTGTGGATAGGAAGGAGCAGGAGCCGGGGGACAGAGGTTATCTTGGCGGCCTTGGCGTCTTCAGCAGAGATCATCTGTCAGAGATCCGAGCTTTGGGGAGAGCCAGGTGTGATTTACGAGTCCAAAGGGGATTTACAAAGGCCACGAGTTCTGGAATCTGAACCCCTGTCCAGCCAGGCCCACTCGAGAGTCACTATGGGCAGATGGGAAACGATGATTTGGCACCGAGGGAATCCCCTTCAGGTGAATACAGGGAGAAGAGAGGGGCCCAGGGCCCACCCTGGATGGCGCCAGCAAAGCAGACACCCACGAAGAGGGCGCAGGGACGGGAAGTCCAGGAAGGAGGGTGCTATGGGAACAGAGAGAAAGTACGATGGTGCGGAGACGAGCAGGGCAAGTACAGAGACAGTGGAGCCTCGCAGGGTGAGTGCTGGGTGCTCTGTTGCAGGAAGATAACGCGGCAGGTGTGCGCCTGCCTGCCCTCGTCCCTCCGTCCTTCCCTCCGTCTGTCCCTCCCTCTGGACCACACAGTGGGGAGAAAACGCCCTGGGGTTTTTCATCTACTCCAGAGACCATCCATGTGACACTATTTGTGACTGATTTGCAACATTTTAACAGTTTGTAACATTGTAACATTTGTAACATAAAATGTTAATACATTTTCACCTTTTGTAAAAGTTGATTTGAACTATCTGTCGGAAGGCGGAATCCCAGAGGCCAGATGAGTCGATGAGGGTCATTCGCTGGCCAGAACGATGGGCTAAGCTGGGGGGTGGCTGGGTCTGCACCCAGGGCAGGGAGCCCCACGTCAGTGCCTGTGGGCAGCTCCAATTTGCAGATGAAGGATCAGGCCTGGTAACTCACCTAAGGATCCCAGCTCCAGATCGGACGGGGGCCCTGTGCCTCCAAAGAGGCGTCTGTGAGTCCAAGAGCCTCCCTGGAGGCTATGCCACGTGTCCTTGGAGGACAGTTTTGACCCTCAGATCACAGAGTTCAGAGTCAGAAGTCATCCGAAGGCAGGTGTCATCCCGCATCTGGAGTTTACAGGTGGGGGAGCGCTGGGCCGAGCACCAGGGCGCTGCAGCTAGGAGGAGAGGGTGCCTGGGCCTCTGGTGTCTACAGAACTCCATTTCAAAATACAGACCATGCATTCCTAAATTCCCATCTGAACAAACCGGGCCAGGAGACAGCCCAACACTGGCATTGCATTTAATTCCCTGAAGCCAGGTTATTCCCTTAACCAGAAAGCAAGCTTACACCACAACAGGTGAGAAAGAACACACCCATCTTCGGTCCAGGCACACGGACACAGGGACTCTGTGCCCTCGTCTGTTCCCCCGTCCCCACCTTCTCCCTCCCCCTAGCTGGCTGTGCTTTTCCTGCCCAAGACGGAGAACCTTCCCAGGTCCTCCCCTTCCTGACACAGGCTCTGGAATCAGAGGATAATTTTAGACAAGGCAAACAAATCTTGTAATCCCATTTCTTCTACCACCACCAACCACGGGCTACGATGCCCTAGGGGTGCCACTCTCTTTCCTTGTGGCTCCCATGGGGGCTAGAGTCCCGGGCTCCCCAGAGGTGGGGCCAGTCCTGCGGGGTGGTCCTCACACACTTCCAGCCCGGAATACTCAGTCTGAGGAGGCTCGTGTCAGGTCTGCCGAGGACACTCTCACTACCGAAGAAAATCAGCATATGGCTCCATATTTTAAGCACGGTCTGATTTTCAGCCAGTGTTCTGAATCGAGGGCACTAAAAACTTTCCTTGCCTTTTTTTCTGATTCAGCAGATACGGGCTAAGATAGGAGCTTTCCTGTGGCTTTTGACCACTGCTGCCCGAAAGTCCTTTCAAGCTCAGAAGGGGCCTCTGCGCTACTTCTTTTCACGGCTCTTGTCCGTTCTCTCCGTTCTCCTGCAGCTCTGCCCACGCCAGCTCCAGACTTCTGAAGTTTGGCTCAGGACACCCAAAACCCCTTCCTCCTTCCCCCGCTCCTGCTAGAATCCGTCAGCAAAGACCTGCTCAGCATTTTCCCATCATTCTTTGGATTCGGCCGGGGAAGTCGTGGGAGTCAGGCTGGTGTTAGAACCAGCATGAAGACTTTGCACAGGAGACACGGGTTTTTGGTGACCTTTCAAGGGTGATGCTGTACAAAGGCAGGCTTAGGACAACACCCAGGGAGCAGAGAAGAACATCTGTCTCACGTTCGAACAAAGAGCAGCTGCCCGGTGGGACATCAGACGCTTCTTGTTCTACAGCTCCTGTGCGCAGGGCGCACTGTACTCCAGCACCCCCGACAGCCCCGCGAGGAGAACGTGGAGGCTCCGAGGGCCCAAATCCCGCCCCAGGCACCCCGCTAGCGAGCAGCCGAAACCAGCCTCCGTTTGGGTCCATCCGACCCCTGAAGCCTTGTTCTTCCCACTCAGTGCCTTCGGTCTACCCTTTGGTCTCTACCCTGCTGCCCGGAACCAGATGGAAAGCTGAGGCCATACCGGATGCTGTCAGTCGCATCTCCAAAATTCATGTTGTTCTTGAGCAGGGTTTTTAAATTTATTATACGGGCTGATCGGCCTTTGTCTTCCGTGAATCACATTCTTTTACGGAATAATTCAAATCTCAGTACAGCCTGAATGAAGGCCAAAAAGAGTACGATTTGGGGTTCACAGGTCTTGTTTTAGAGGCTGTGAACATATTCCTGGTTCACTATTTCCTCTAATATAGAATGTTACCAAGAGGCTTTTTTTCTTATTTTAAAAAAAAAAAAAAAAGAAAGAAAAAAAAAAGTACTCCATCCAGGTTGCTATTATTTGAAATACTCAACAGCCCGGCACCTTCAGATCCAAATCCCCTGAGGTTAATCTGAAGAAATTCTTTGCTAGTTAAGAGTAAGACTGTGAACTTAATAAGTAATAGTTGAAAAATTACAAAAAAAAAAAAAAACAATCCCTCAGATGAAGACTACTGAATACACAGGAGTGCTGCCTCCCCTAGTATGTGGTCATGACCTGGGGCTTTCCGGGATTTATCAGAACCCTGAGGACTCACCAGAGACGTGCGGGCCACAGCCTCAACCACCGCGTTGAACACCTTCTGGGGCAGGCGCAGGAGTGTGGTGCCGCTGTCCACGATGGCCTTGTCTGCGTTATACTGGAATAGAGGCGGGTTGGTGGGGAGAGGGCGTGAGTTCTAGGCAATGTGATTCTAGTCTGCTGTCCCTGGGGGTCCGCCACACACAACTTCCGGCAGCCGGGGGACCTCACCGGTGACTCTACTCATGGCACAGTCTAGGAACTTGGACGCTAGCCCAACATTCTCACTTCCCAGAAAAGGAAACGGAGACCAGGAAAGGGAAGGGACGTGTCCAAAATCAACAGCTCTCACCTCACAGACAACTACCCCATCTGGAGGTGCCCAGGCGACCCTCTCCCTGTCAAGGAGCTCCCAAGGGCAAAGGGGGCAGACCCCTGTGTCTTTCCAGATTCAAATGACACGTCAGTTACCATTTATGCAAATCCTATAGAAGCAACTATTATCCCAGAAATGGAGAAAGACGATTAGGATGGCCAGACACACCATATCTGGATTTAGGATGGAACCACAGCCACGTTCAGAGAGAGGATCTCACATGTGCACACATGGAAGTCTGCACTGCGTTGTAGCCCTCCCCTTGGAGTCGATCACTGGATTCTTTAGTGTAAGGAAGTGCCTCTGACCAGAGAGCCAGCTCTGTGGCCTCAGGACTGGAGACTCTCCTAGAAGGAGCAAGCACTGCTCTCTTGAGCTCGGGTGGGTTTCAGAGGCATCTGTGCCTATGGGAACCGTGGTGGGTGCGTGAGAAAGGAGGTGGTGGCAGGGAGGCACAGAACGAGACGCCCAGCCTGCAGGCACTGTGGGGGACTGCCTGCCACAAGCTGTCCTCCTCACGATGCCATTACGGCCCCCAGGAACGCCCAGCACAGACAGGGCGTGCACAGCGTTCCTGCGGGATGTGGCACCCCACCTCTGCACGTCTGCCCCCCCATGAGGACAGTCAGGACACGCTGCTCTGCAGAGCATGACTTGTCCTGGAGGGAGAGGGGAGCGGCGGCGGAGGGGTGAACAGAAGGCAAAGCGGATGGTTTCTTTTGAGTTTCATTTTGCTTAATTGTAGCCCCCGTTTTCTCCCTTGCACGGATTAAAAACCTGCTCTTCCAACCTCTGAAACACAGTCCTGAACCATCAAGCCCAGGGGAATGGCGAAAGGGGCTCTACAGTGCTCTTTGGACATGCCGGTTTATGCTTTTTTTTTTTCCCTATGAAGCTGAGTGACTGGAAGGAAGCAAGTCTTCTAGAGGGAGGAGTTCATTATGATACAAAAAGGCCCGATCACTTTTAATGTATGAATCTTTGATTTACCTTGTAATGTGCCTTCTAGTTTTCTTGTGTTTTTTTTTTTTTTTAAGATTTATTTATTTATTTTAGAGAAAGAGAGAGCGTGCATGCTTGTGGCGGGGGTTGGGGGAGGGGCAGAGACTGAAGAAACTCCAAGCTGACTCCCCACGGGACACAGAGCCAACCTAGGGCTCCATCCCAGGGTTCTGAGATCATGACCTATGCCATACCAAGAGCCAGACACTTAAGTGACTGCCCCACCCAGGTGCCCCCATACCTTCTAATTTCCTATTCCAGTCCCAGCTACAGTATTAAAGTGACACAAAGAGATCACGATGGGCATACCTCTCTGCAATCCAGATTCAGGCTCTGGCCTCCGATTTCCAGCTTGAGAATTTCTATCTGGTAGTACCACTCCTCCTTAATAGGGGTATACCAGATGTCTCCTTTGTACAAGCTTGGCTCAATTCCACCCAGGACCTGAGAAGGAAAACATTTATAGGTATAAGAGAAAAAATACGGAGGCATAGCCACAGGTTACACTGAGAAGCATACAATCAGAATCCCCATCCGCGTCTTACGATGATGTTACAAAACAGAGATGCTTGGAAATTAAACAGGGAACATTTGGGGGCCATGTATCCAAAGGTCAAACAGTCTTGTGCCCTCGTCTGTTCCAGATGCTCTGGTGGTCTCCCTTCTGTAAAGGATGGCCCTCCAATTCTAGCCTTATCATACCAAGATGTAACCCCCATCGAATGAGGTAGAACAGTGAGCCACACTGTCGGACAAGAATTCAGTTCCTCAGAAGACAGAGGAGGACTTAATGGTCTCACACGTTTGCATGGAAGGCAGACAAAGGAGCGTCCCTAATCAAAATCTGATGTTGCAAAACTATAAAACATCGCCCCACATATCCTAGGCTGTCCTCTGTCCTGAAAAGGGGGATAAGTAAGGTATTCAGATCGGGTGTAGTGTAAGCAAATGAAAGCAACTGCGTGTCTGCTTCTCACAGCTGACAACTGGGGGGTTGTCAGCACCTGCCCCGAAGGGGCCCTTCTTGTGTGCTGTCCTTGTCACCTCTCGCTTGAGACATCGGGGCGGGGGAGCAGGGTCCATTGAAGGGACACTCAGCCTCAGTACATCCACAGAGCTGGTGGCCTTGATCTGTTCGTGTTTCACTAGAAAACTTCCTGCTGTGTGTCTGTACGTGTGTACGCCCTTGTGCAGAGAAAGGACATCCAGGTGTCCCTGTCTTGGCACCAAATTAGGAAATCGCCAGTCTTTCCTTCAACCAGTGGACCAACCCTGGGTCTGCCACACCCCCCACTGGTCCTCACCCACCCCTCTCCCACCTGCCAAAATTTTTCTAGGAAATCATTTTAAAAAGCTTTCATAGAATTGGGGGAAGCAATGAGAATCAGCTTCTGGCTGGCAGGATAATTAGAAAAGATAAAAATAATACCTAATTTTACCCAATTTTTTTAAAGGTTCTATAAGAAGGGTGATCAAAATTCCACAGTACTGATGTATACTTCTGTGTCTAGCATTTCCACCAGGGTGTTCACAAACAGAAAAGCTGCCCGATTCATTTGTGATATTTTTCCCCCCTTGAGGACTAAAAGATACCCACAAGACTACCTCCGTTGGTACCAGATCCAGCCACGGGCAGCCCCGCCCCACACATCTGCATGGAGAAGACGTTGGGGATCCTTGCTTGGGCCACCAGGGAGTCGAAGAACGTCTCCAGGGAACTTGACGGCTGTAGGAGACACAAGGACAGCAGCCCCATGACTCATGGCGGAGATGAGGACCAAGCCGAAGTTGACATGGGGCATGGGGTCCAAACCTGGTTTTCTTCATATTTGTTTTCATGGGGAAACAACAACCATCTGTTCAAGGGCAGTAATTCGGAAACCAGCAACAGACCTTCCTACTACGCAATGTTTTCCTGTCTGTGTGGCTCTGTTGGAAAAATAAGATAGTATTTCTAAAATCGGAACGAGACAGAGAAGATCTGTACGGTCCCTGCGCAAGGCAGAGACGCAAACCTAAGACACTATTTCTAGAGCTGCTGGTACGTCGTCACATTATCACCACGACGCCCTGTGAGGCAGGCACGAGACATGGAGGTGGGTCACCAACGGGGCTGGTGGGCTCCCATCTCAGTCTGAGCAAGGAGAGAAGCGCCTCTGGGAGTGGCCTTTGTGGCTTCAGAAAACGTGCTTCATATCTCTAGGCCACGGTCGTCTGCCACACGCCAGGTGCTAAGCATGAGACCTCTCAGACCCCAGACTCTGCTGAGCTCCGGGGAGCAGGAAAGCAGCAGGAAAGGACAGTCCTGCGTCCCTGAACTTGAAAAGCCCCAGATTCCCAGCTACCATAATTCAGTGGACCTAAGTGGCCTATGCCTTCCTTCCACAGAGCCAGCACTCACTCAGGGCGCCCCATGTCTCCAGAACTCAGTGTGCGAACAGCTCTACACTGAGGGTGGGCCTCCAGGGCTGCTGGTCCCGAGGACCAGTCAGGGACCTGTGCATAGATTTTGGGTTTGACAACCAGGGATACGGATCACTCAGAGATGTTGGTTCCTGATGGAAATTTACTTGTAGCGGCCCAGTTGCCGGGCAGATTCGGACCACTGGCAGTCAACACCGGGACTATCACTTACTGCCCATAAGAATGAAAACTGTAATTCTGGGGGGAGCAAGGGCACAGCCCATTAGCAAGTACAAAGCTTCTCATTTATTTAACTCTGTTGCGTCTGGCCGCCTCCTCCGGCTTCTGTGGCCTCTCTGGCAGGACTGGGCATGATATCCTCACACCACGTGTGCGTTGGCGTCTCGGGGGATGACGGACACGAAGTGGGCTGGGTGTGGTGCTGACCCAGGCTGCCGTCCTCCCGGCCACCTGCGTGGGAGGCAGCAAAGGCAACACCGCCTGGGACTGAATTCTGGCTTCGCCACCTGCTCCCCATGTGACCGGTTCCTTTGTTTCTTTATCTGTGAAATGGGGAAACAGTAGCCTCCCGGAGCTGCTCCTGGGGCTTAGATGAGCCAATACACACAAAAGCCTTGGAACATTGCCTGGCCCGCAGTAAGGGATCTATCAGGATTCTGCCCAGTCATTCCTCAGGTTCCCTCTTGAGCTTTGAAAACATACAAGTACCAGGGTCAACCCGAGAGAGCCCAGCTCAGGGGCGTGCAGTTGGACGCAGGCATCCGTGGTGTGAGACCCTGGAGGGCAGGGTCTGAGGCACAGCCTCGGTGGGAATCCTTGGCGGGAAGCATCATGACTGACTAGGGTCGCCACGCGCCGTGGCCACCACTGAGGGCTCGGCCAACCTATCTCAGCAGCAGCTCTGGCCCACCAAGCCGCACTTCCAGCCACGCACCACGTCCTCCCCATCCCATGACCATCTCCTCAAACCTGGGATAGGAAGCCAATCGCCTTCATCTCAGAATTCCGTACACAAGAAGGTCGTGTGGCAAGCCCGGCCACCCCTGGGGACCCAGAAGTCACTATTTGCAAGGAAGCTTATTTTCAGCACTATCCACTGCAGGCAAGTCAGCTTTATTCTGCTGTTCCCCAGAGAATCAGCATGAACCCAACCATGCTCATACCTTTCCCCGTCAGAGCCAGGTAACAAAGCAATGTTTTGTCCTCGGTCACGCTGTCTATGAACTTGTACCGAGGAAGGTATGTTATTAAAATGAGTCTACACAGTTCATATTAAGCTCACCCTACGGTACTGAGAAGAAAGGGGCTCTAGAGCACCCCCCCCCAGGCTCTGGGCGAGGAGGGTAAAACCTCTCCTACCCTCAGTCTGCACATCCGTAAAATGGGAGAACGTGGCCACCCACGGAGGTCACCAGAACCCAGGGAACCAAGTCCTGGGATGTCCTTAGCCCGCCTGCCTCATAGGCCTCTCGCTCCTTAAGAGTCCCAGGCTCGGGGGCGCGTGGGTGGCTCAGCTGGTTAAGCCACTGCCTTCGGCTCAGGTCATGATCTCAGAGTCCCGGGACTGAGTCCTGCATCAGGCTCCCAGCTCAGCGGGGAGTCCGTTTCTCCCTCTGACCTTCTCCCCCACTCATACTCTCTCTCACTCTCAAATAAATAAATAAAATCTTAAAGAAAAGAAACGAAAAGAATCCCAGGCTCAGGAACTCCCCTGCCTGCCGCCCGCTCTCCACCTCACCCCTCCATGCACCATTACTAGTGAGCTGAGGCCGGGACGAACATCCCTGTGGGAGAGAAAACAGACTTTCCCTCGAGCATCCTCCTGGACCACGATGGGCTCCGCAGCCCCTCCAACCTGCTTCTGCGCGTTCCACACTTCTCTGGCTGCAAGCCGAGCGCTGACCAATCAGAGGGCAAGATGCGGGGCCCAGGACTGCCAGGAGGGGTGACCGCCTTCTGCTCCACTCCAGGACACGCCCTGGTATTTCATCCGCTTGACCTGGTTCCCCTCTTGGGGGAGACTCCCCAGCCTGCCTCCCCACCCAGGCACACCGTCACTCCCTTTGGGCTGGCCAAGTCCAAAAGTTTGCAGATCCTGTCTTTCCCATTTTGTGCAAGTTCCGATGAGGATGAGAGCATGGGCTGCACACGTTCCCCTCGGGGCCTCCCGGGCCACTGGCCTGCGGTCTCTGGGACGCGCTTTCAGGCCCTCCCTGGGCTCTGGTGGCCCCTCTGGGGTGTCCGCACCCACGGGGAAGCAGCACGATGCTCTCGCCCTGATGGGATGTCTCCCTGGCCGAGGCCCCAGGGCAGCCGCAGGCTCCACCGTCCTCGTGAGAATGTATGAATCTAATAAATGTGTTTTCTTTTAATCCTCCCCCCAAGAAAAATGCACCGACGCCAAAATTCAAGTGACTCGGATTCTGTTCACATTTTTAAACTACAGAAGTAAAATAAGCAAAAACAAAGACAAGTGAAACTAATGCTATGGGTACATCGTGGCAGGAAGGTTCAAAGGATTACACCATTACCTTAAAGTTTAAAGATGTCTACAAACGTAATTAACTGGGTGACCATGGTTGGTCTCCACCACGTGACTCTCAGCGACCAGCGTTGTCTCCAGCCGCTGGGACGCCCCCCCAACTGCCGCCCACCCAACTCGTCCCAGCTTTGATCCTACTTCGACCCCCAGACCAGCCTTACCTTGGCCAGAGCAGCATAGGCGAGTCCCAGGATCCCGTTCCACTTGATCCCAGGCAGAAAGAAATTCTCGGACTCAAAGATAGTGGCGATGTTCACGAGGAATGAGCTGTTGAAGCCTTTCGGGATGGTGACGACGTCCTCCCCCACGAAGCCCGTCCAGCTTCCCTGCGTGTACTTCACCGTGACATCGAAGCCCTTGGAGCGGTAAGTGCTCGACCTGGAGAAGGAAGAGACAATGCCTGGGGCTGGATCCACGCGCCGCATTCGGACGAGACGGCCGGGCACGGTGGCCATGACCACTCTCCTGAGCACAGGAAAGCGACCACACTGCAATTCTTCATCATTAACAGCGATTCTGTTCACAAAGTAGGCAATTCCACTAGCCAGCCTCACTCACATCTGGGTGGTGTTTCCGTGCCAAGTGTGCGGGCAGCTTTGGGGTCGACACATAGCCCCGAGTTTAACATTTACCCAAGGGGGGGGGCCCATAACTTACTTAACCACATCTGCCTTTGAAGGCACGGCCCAAACTGGGCACCCGCCTGGCCCCCTGGCTTTGCAGGGGCCCCGCACTGCTGCTCTATGACACAGGGAGGGACCTTCAAGTTTAGACGTCACACCCACAGCCAATGTGACAAATAAAGACCACCCCCACGCCTTCCTCCTCAGGGCCCACATTTCCTCTTGATGTCACAGCCTCCTCCTCCAGGCTGTGCCATGGGGCCATACTCCTCCCAAAATATGGGGGAGGGGTGCAGCTAGTGGCCTGTAGGGACATGAATCCCTGTGACACCGTCTACAGTCCTATGTGCAAACGGCCCTATGGGTAAGACCTGCTTAAACAGAGACATGTGAAGGAGATCAGACCACAGGCAGGGCAGATGAGAATTCTGCCCTTGGGCTTTCAGAGACAGACAGTAAACAAACAAATACATAAAATTCCATTCTAGGCAGTGGTAAAGTGGAAGGACTCCCCAGGGAATAAAGTGGGGGTGTGGGTAAGGACATTGACTTGGTGGTCACCCAGGCCTCTCCAGTGCAGCCACCTCTGTGGGAGACCCATGAAGACAATGAGCCCCACGGGAAGGACACTCTGGACGAAGGACAGCAGGTGTCAAGGCCCTGGGGTGTCCAAACCTGTAAAGTAATTCCTACACCATCTGAGTTTGAAAACTCTGCTGAATTAGAGGACGGGACCCAGAGAATGTCTCTAGGCAAATATCTGAGCATTCCAACCACACTCACTCTAGGAAAACTGCCAAATTCCCAGAGAGATATCACTTCACCAAGCAGATCACTTGTCCAGTGCTACCGTTTGCCTGAGGTTTTCATTCACTGTTTTCACACTGAGCCTTTGAACGCCAAGTCTGTGTTGTAGGACTGTTCGAACTAGTGCAGTCTTGCCTGGGGTCCAGATGGCAGTTAAGTCAGAGATGGTCTGACCTCTTCTTTGGGGGGCACATCTCTTAACTTTAAATATGTTAACAGTCTTTAGTTCAGTAACGGTACTTCTGAGCGTCTGATCCTAAGGAAATACCCAGAGATACAAGACGGAGATTCAGGGGCAAAGACGGTCATTAGGTTTGAAAACAGCAAACAGCTGAGAACAAGCTAAATGCCCAGCAGAAAAGGAACCATTCAGTAAAAGTATAGTGCCCCTCAATGACGGAATATTATGTAGCACCAAAGAATGCTATTTACAAAGTCATTTTCAAGGACGCAGAAATAAGGTGAAAGAACTCTCGGTGGTTCCCTCTGGGGGTGGGGGTGGGATTTGGGAGGGAGACTCCCCTTGTGGTTAGGCCTATCTAGAATTTCTGCACACATAGCTTTGATAATTGGGGGGGAAAGTGATTCTTGGGGGCCTGGGTGACTCAGTCAGTTAAGCATCTGCCTTCAGCTCAGGTCATGATCTCAGGGTCCTGGGATTGAGTCCCATATTGGGCCCCCTGCTCAGCAGGGAGTCTTTGTCTCCCTCTCCCTCTGCCCCTCCCCATGCTTGTGCACTCTTGTCTGTCAAATAAATAACATTTTAAAAAAATAAATTAAAAAATAAAAAATAAAAAGCAAATAAGTGATTCTTCCAATGTCTGGCACACACGTTTTGGAGAAATCTGATTTATGCGAGCTTCATAATGGGATACAAAACACGAAGACTGCTTAATTTTAGTATTTACTGCCTTAGTTCACTCTGCCACGATCTTAAAGAGACAGCAGCATTGGGGAACACCTCGCATGCATGTGTCTCCTGGTAAGGGTAGACACAGAGAGTGACAGGGGACGGGTTGGGCACACGGAGTGCTGGGGGCCGGCCCATCAGAGGTCCCACAGGCAGCGCCATCAGGTCATGGAAACAGGAGACCAGAGGGTCGCTGTCACCCCACGTTGACTGCCAGCACTGAGTCAAATGTATCTGGTGCGAGACAGGGGCTATCCGCATTTATGGTGAACAGCAATGAAAATCCCGACTTTGGACCATCTGGGGTCATTCCTCGTGTGTACAAACACACCACTGCTAACAGAAAAGGCCGTTCTGAAATGGGCAGAGAACAGGATCTGGCCCAGGGTCAGCACGCCTTTTCTGTCAAGGGCTGAGGAAACAACTCCCACCTTCTGTGGGTCCCCTGATCTCCGTTACGTCTCCCCAGCCCTGCAAGTGGAATGTGGAAGCAGCCACCGACGACACTGACCAAATGCGCGCTGCTGGATTCTAATAAAGTTTTATTAACAGAAGGAGCAGGCTGGAGGTAGCCGGAGGGCCCTCGTTTGCCAACTCCTGACTGCAGAGATTAGTTCTCTCCCCGATACAGCCTAAAGTGCCGTGACTTCCTTGGGAGAAGCTGTTTTGTTTTTAGTCTGCCCAGACTACAGAACACTCATTAGAACCTGCTAATGTCTAAGCGCCCGAAGCAGCCTCGTAGGTGTAGACCCGTGAGGTTCCTACACTACCCTGACCAGCTTGCTTGTCCCCTCATGGGGACAAGCCCTCTGGACACTCTGATGCCACTCGCAGAGACAAGAGGCCCTTGATGTTACACAGCTCGGGTTCAACCACCAGTTCCACTGCTCAGCTGTGTGACTCCAGCCCAGGTTACTTAACCTCTCTGTGCCTCTATGGCTTCAACGGGAAAAGGAGACCGTGCGGTACCACATCCCGTGGGTTAATTCTGAAGACCAAGAGAGCGAACTCTGGAAAGCACTTAGAACAAACCCTGGGACAGAGCGGGTGCACAAGAAAAACACCTGGTACTATTATAATTATCTGAACACTTGTTGTCTTTACTCCGTCTGTGAACAACTACTTGAAAGCGCAAGAATTTTTTTCCTGGGGCGTCTGGGTGGCTCAGTCGGTTGAGCGTCCGCCTCTCTCTCTTTCGGCTCAGGTTGTGATCTCAGGGTTGTGGGATGGAGCCCTGAGTGGGGCCCTGTGCTCCACGGGGAGTCTGCTTGGCATCCTCTCTCCCTTTCTGCCCCTCCCCCCGCTCACATATATGCTCTCTCTCTCTCAAAAAAAAAAAAAAAAAAATTAAATAAATCTTTAAAAAATGTTAATTCCCTGAAAATACTCCTACAGCGTTACTTGTACTGAATACCAGAAACAGTCTCATCTGGAAGTCCGATCGTCCCCCCAGGAAGGGGCTCGTCTGTTGTACAACTTGGTTAAGGTGGTGGGGGGCCGTTGGGGAGGGGAGCCATGGGGGCGGGGCCCTCTCCATCTCTAAAGGCAGAGTTCTCCGGCCTTCCAGAGCAGCGCCGTCCAACAGAACCGGCCGCCCCGACGGAAATATCCTGTATCCTATGCCAGCCAGTATGGTTCACCAGGGGCGTCCTGGGCACTAAACACGACTGTACAGGGACTGGAGAGGTAGGCTTATTCCATCCAGTGCTCGGTAACTGAAATACCCATGTGATTGCGGCTACCCTGGTGGAAAGCGTAGTTTTAGATAAGGCGAGAGAAAAAGTAAGTGCATCCTCTGTGAGCTCCTTGAACTAAACCTCCAAGGGCAAAAACCCCAGTGATGAATCGTAAGTAAATCTGAGGGCTATCGATGTAGAGTTTCCCGCATTGAATTGGGAAAAAAAAAAGTATTCCCCCATCTTCATGACTCTAACATCCCATTTGTTGGCACTAAAATGCTTTGGCTCGCAACCACTCTGCACATTAATTACTATCTTGAGGGAACCCCGGACTGGCTCGTCCTGTGGCTCCCGTTCTGGGTTCTCAGGAACAGCCATCAGTCAGGGACACGGGTAGCCAGGACAAAGTCCACTCAGCAACAAAATCACTTCGAACCAAGTTCAGAAGGCATTCTGCCTCCAGTAAGAGTGTTGAGGATACACAGGACTGAAAGGGGAAATCAATGAACAGGGGAGAAAAGAGCCAGAGACATTTTATTTTAAAAGGAACCCACTATTGTTTTCGGAGGACGTGAAAAGAGCAGGTGGGAGGGAAAAATTCAAAGTCCTGGGGTCTGCTCCCCCACCCAGGGAATGAGGAGTCTGGTGAAGAATGCACCCGGGGGCTCTTCTGCATTTGGGAGGCGGGTTGGAACCTATCTTCAGGGTTGTCAGACTGGCCCACATTGGCCCCTAGAAGGTTCTGGAAGGTTCTGGAAGTGACCAGACCAGAGTGGATGGGGCTACTGATGGCCCAGTGGCCGCTCAACGAGCCTGCCCAGCCTGGAGAGTCGCCATCATGCCCAACAATGACCAATGCTCATGGGCACCAGCAGTCCACTCCGGGACAAGCAAACAAACAAATGTGGGCTTGAGGAACAATCTGAACCATCAGGCACAAATACAGCCCATCGGCCGAAGGAGAGACGCGCCCAGCTCGGCCCCCTTAAGGAGGCTACCTGGTAATTCCCTAACATCCTACCACCACTCACAAGCATCATTTGAGGAAACGAACTGCCCCCTCGCCACGACTACTCTTTGTGTCTTGACCCCAGACGGGAGTATTTCTCCGGATAATCTAACAGAAGGTCGGGGGATGAGTATACCAGATCTTTAATCAAGCCAATTGGCCGGAGGCTGTTTTATTGGCTAAAAAAGAAGGACATCTAAAGAAACACACAATCTTCTTTTTGCCATGAAGAAACTCACTGGAACATTCACCACCATGAAAAGAGGGCCTCCGATGGGAGGAAGGCACACAAAGGATTAACGGTAGTCTGGCGGCTCATTCCAGAAATCAAAGAGCTCTCGTCAAAGAGCCCCATGTCAAATCTCCAATTACTGGGAAATGTTTCAGGAAGCATTAAAACCTGAATATCCAAAGACTGGGGGACTGGAATCAGAGCTGACAAACCCAACCAGAAACCTTATTATAACTCAGGAAGATCAGAGGGACAAGCAAACACAGAAGCATCACAGGGCAGGGAGCTGCATCTCAGAAAAGAACCCTCTGTCGGAAATGGAGATGGGAAGCGAGAACGTTCTCTTGGTTTCCATTAAATACGACGGTGGAAAGCATACACCTTATGCCAATCGGAAAGTCAGCTGGAAGCCATACGCAAATCAGTAATGCATCATTTTATAGAAAATGTTGCTATCTTCACAATATTAGATCCATGTTTGGGGCGCTCCAGTGGCTCAGTCAGTGAACCGTCTGCCTTGGGCTCAGGTCATGATGCCAGGGTCCTGGGACTGAGTCCCAAGTCAGGCTCCCTGCTCAGTGAGGAGTCTACTTCTCTCTTTCCCTCTGCCCCTCCCCCTGCTCAGGCACACATGCTCTCTCTCAAGTGAACAATCTTTTTTTAATAAATAAATAAATTTGAGTCAAACAGAAGTGTGTGAGAAGCACGGGATATAAAAACAGAGGAAGGGAGAGAAAAAAAAGTTAACACAAATCTGAGCAGGTACCTAATCTGCAAAGCACCCCTCTTTGTAGGGACACGGCTGATGGGACAGAACTTGCTGCAAACTCAGCAATGCGACGCTTCCCATCTGATTCAGCTAAGAAACCTGACAGGCCTGTGGTAAGAATAGTTCTCTTAAAAAGAAGGCCAGGGGTCCAAAATGTGGGTGGCGTCTTACCAGTCCTACAGACCTTTCAGCAACACCTGGGAACAAAGAAGGTGGGCTGATGTCTGGGTGACAGAGCCTGGGGCAGCCCCTGCCCTCCGGTCAGTTCTGTTATTTCTCTATTTGCTCACACACGGGGCACCCAAGAGAACCCTGAGTGCTCAGAAAGCTGGCAGGGATCCCGTGGCTCTCTTACAGAATTAGAAGAAAGGAAGGCTTCACCATCGTGGGAGCCACGGACAGTCCCACGAGTTTTCACATTAAACCAGGCTCCATGTTTAAGGATAAAAAACAGGAACAACTGCCACCCGACCACAAACCCAGCCAGCAAGGTGAGCAGGTAAGTTAGAAAGACATGTCCTGGGGCATCTGGGTGACTCAGTAGGTTAGGCATCCGACTCTTGATTTTGGCTCAGGTCACAATCTCAGGGTCCTCGGATCAAACCCCACATCGGGCTCCCCGTTCAGTCAGTGGGGAGTCAAAAAAAAAAAAAAAAAAAAAAGACCTGTCCTACTGAAGCCTGAAAGAGAACCACTGTTCAACCAAACCATGAACAAAGTAGGAGGTAAACAAGACACCAGGAGCCTACAGTCCCTCAAATACTGTACATCTTCACCGCCATCGTACACAGCATTTGTAATGCTATGACTCACCCTCAAATGTTTCAGTAACCACATCTGCACGGCAAATGGGTGACTGGCTTGCAAAGTGCTGTTCGGCCCCTCTCAACCCCTGGCTGAGGGTGTATGCCAAGGAAATGCTGCTTACGCACTGGGAAAGAAATACTCAGCCCGTGGGTAAATCCACACACTTGAACCGAATGTGACTATACACTTCTCCCCAGCTTTGGCTTCACTCTGTCTCGTGTGTCTGCAGATCCGCGATGAAAGGCAGAACTACGAGGAAAAGCCACGAAAGTTACAGCCGAGCTCCAAGCATGTGTGTTCTGAGCCCCACGGTAGGTGTTGGGACACTGGAGACATGTGGGGACCATGGCCCTACAATGGAAAAGACGGAGGGCTAGGACTGCTTTGCCACCAAAGTAACACTTTTTACATACTTTGAACACACACTGCATTTTCCAGAAATGCAAATAAATTGGGGGAAGGTGGTACACTTGGGGGGAAACTTTACCAAGATCCTTCATCTATTTGGAAATCTTGTCCCCAACCCAAGCAGCTCTGGGGGGTCTGAGTCTACTTCGACCCCCTTGTATCAGTCTGCACCAGGTGCTGCAAGGTCCTGGGGACACTCACAACCCCCCACTGTTGACCTAGAGTGTGCCTGTATCACGGTACTGACTACCGTTCTCTTCGTTCTCCCCAGGGCGACAGCAGGGCATCTAGACTTAGGTACGAGGCAAGTGGTATGTATGACCTTTGCTTTCCATTCGGGGCATTAGAGTACTGGCTCGAAAAACAGCGTTCTGGGGCTGACGGTCTGCGAATGCAGACCTAGAAGCTGGAATGTGGAGAAGCTTCCTGGCCTCCTGGACCTCCCGTGCTACACGAGTAAAATCAAGGTCAGGACCAACTTGAAGTTCTGCTCCATGACAAAGTAGTCCAGAGCAAGCAGCTTGGGGATGGGGGACTGTCGGGGGCGGAGGGCATGGGCTGACCACCCATCAGAATGGGGAGGGGCAGAGAGTAGCCCCTCACCTCCTGCACACACAGGGAATAGCAGTGCCCCCACTGCACATGTCCCTGGACGGGAAGTTCACCCAGAATGTCAACGATGGCACTGTTATCTTATCAATACACTGAGTCATACGCTAAGCTACAGGCTCTTGGAGGAGGGGCAGCGGGGGTGTGGGGGCCCCAGGAGGCCTGTCTCGCACCTGCTCCCACCATCCTCCAGCTGCACGCACAGAAGACCACACCTCTTGCCCTATCAAAAGGGAGACCAAGACACACTCCCAGGAAAAGACAGACGGGCTCTTCTGCACAGGGTCAGCTAGCCTGCCTTGGGAAAGTTGCCTGCTATTTCCAGAAGCTTCCCAGCCATTATTCTCCCCCAGCTGGGGGAGCTGGGGTTTGTTGGAACAGAGACTGTGGATGAGGCAAGTGAGCAGGGGTTTAATGGGGCCGCTCTGGGTCAGGCGACAGCTCACGACCCTGGACAGCAAGCCACGTGTCGGCTTATTCGTTTTATTTGAGTTTCAAATTTCCGGTCATAAGCATGGATATGAAATCACCACGTGTATCCAGAAGGTAGTGTTTCTGGCTCCACGGGAGCTGAACGCTGCCACGAGGCCCTGGAGGCCGTGTCTAGAGCCCACCTCGGGCTCTCTGAGGCCCAGAGCACACAGAGACTGTCCAGGCTCCACTCCAGCCTCATAGCCTCGCCCTGTAACAGAGGCCTGGAGCCTGGTCCTAGGCCCTGTGCGCCTTCCTACGCAAGCCACAGATTCCCGGCACCAAAAACCCTCCTCGCATGGAAGTGGTTTTAATGAACCACACCTTGACCACAACTGAGCTTCGAAGAACCCAGGCCACTGCCCAGAACAGCCTCACGCTTCCACCAAATGCCTGTATCCCCACTCCAGCACTCCGCCGCTTACGACTGGAGGCCTCAATGACCATGAAAGGCTGGTGTGCTCTCTGCGGTCAGGTGAACCACACAACGTCCAGCTGGCTCGAATTTTCAGGAAGTAAAGGTCAGGAGCACGCACCACAGCTATTAGGAGAATCCTCCCACAGACTCCCCCAGAAGGAACCCATACAGACGCACACACAGACACCCGGACAGATCCATCAGTCACAGAAAAACACACAACGATGCGCGTGCGCGCGTGCACTCACACACACACACAGCTACAGATATACACAAACATACACACATTCACAGAGACACACCACCATACATACAGGTATCGCATGTACACAGATGTCTACACACAGAAATATGCACACAACCATATTTACATATGCAAATTAGCTACACATACACACTAATATAGATATACACGCAAATATACACATGATCATCTACAGGCACAGGTATCTCCATATACATAGATGTCTACACAGACGCACAACCATATACACATATGCAGATATCTACCCATATACACATATACTTACAGAGAGAGATATATAACCATACGCACATACCCACAAATATACACAACCATATACACATATGCAGATATCTACCATATACACAATCATATACCTACAGAGATATACAACCATACATACATACACACGAATATACAGACAACCATATACACATACACAGATATCTACCCATATACGCAATCATATACGCATACACACAAATATACACACAACCATATACACAAATGTAAATATCTATACAAATACAGACGCACAACCACACATAAACACAGATGTCTACACATATACATAGATATATACACATACACACAAACACATATGCAACCACAAACACATGCAAATACCTACAAATACATACAAATATTCACATATACACAATACACAGCTATGTACAGATGTCTACACAAACACACACACAAATATGCACACAATCATATATACCTCCACACAGATCTCTACACATACACAAGTACACACAACCATAGGCACAGACAGCTACACATACACACACATATACACAGACACAGCCCCCCCCCCCTTAAAATGATAGAGCTTTGGCTTTTCCCGGTCCAGTGTATTCTCAAGCATGGGTGTGGTGTCCCGAAACCCTGCTGTGCCCGGCCACGCCCCCATCACTCACCTCTCCGCATCAAAGTACGAGTCTATGTAAGAGTGCGGGGCACCTGCCACGGCGAAGTTGCTGCTTCCAGTATCAACGAGAATCTGCAGCTTTTATTTGGAAGGGGAAAAAACAGACACTATCAGGTTACTTGAATAAAGCAACACTGTTGAATAATTCTTTCAAAAACGAAGCACCAAGAGCAATGTATTACTTGGAAAAAAATTTGTATTGATTAGACATATTTTTCTTAAAGCTGCTTTGAAACTGAAATCTGAACATAGTCTGTTAAGAAGCTTACAGCAGGGAGGGGGATCCGTTTTGCTTTGGATACACAAGAGGCCTTACAAGAAGCTCAATTCAGCAAAATAACGGAGATTTCCTTTTTAAGCCACTAGCATTCACGACAAGGAGGAGCCAGGTCCCACCCTGGGCTGTAGGTCAGCTCTGTTTCCCTGCCTTTCCAATCTCCATGGAAGCCCTGATGGCAGTGGGGGAGGTGGGGTGGGGGGCGCTGCCCAAGATGCTCCCCCAGCCTCCTCCCACCCCCAGCAGCTGGCATTCCCTCATCACTGCTACACAGCCCCCGGGACACCCATCACATGGGTCACTTCTTGGTTTTAATGACTTCAAGTTTACATACAATAACAATGCAAGATCTTAGATTTTCTACTGGTGGGCTCTGACATGATACCCAAAGCAAGAGACAGACATTTCTATTATCCCCCAAAGCTCACTTCCTGTGCCCTTTCCAGGCGACCCCTCCTGTTTCTCAGAGGCAGGCACTTTCTGAATCGATTGCCAGGGACTGGACAGTCTATCGGAGTAACAATGTGGACAGGATGGGGGGCCAGCCTCTGGCTTCTAACGGTCGTTCTCGTCAACGTCACTCCGTGGATGTCTGTTTCTATTCTTTTTGGGTAGACACCTCGGGCTCCAACTTGATGGGTCACAGAGCAAGTATATTTTTAATACACTAAAGGAGAGATGCCAAGTTACACCGCTACAAGCGATGGGTCCCTTGTTCCTCTGGTTCATTTTCTTCATATCCACCGCCCATGTGGCATGCTGTTTTCCTGACGGTCATTCTAGTGAGTGTGGACAGGGACCTCCTGTGGCTTTGACCCGCTGCTCCCTGTGACCAGTGACCCCAAGCGGCCGCACCGTCTGTGAAGCACTGCCCCACTCCCACACCCAATAAGCCACGTCTTGGTGCGGGGGGTACGGCGCTCAGCATCAGCCCAAGTCCAGACGCACACCCCACGGTACACACAAGGAAATGTTTCACGGAAGTAAACACGGAACAGGCAGATAAAATCCCAGAGGCTGGAAATCAAGTTTAAAAAGCCGTAGATGAGGAAATCCAGGTGGGCAAGTTTCTACCTAGAATTCTCTCAACACTCTGGTCAAATCCCCAGTTTTTGCCAAAGTCCGTGTTTTCACTCCTTCTCTTACTTGACCACCCCCTCCCCACCCAGCAGGATGTCCCCTGGTCAGCCACTCTGTCCTTCTGGAAACTTCTGGAAATACAGTCTTCACTTGGATTCCAGGACGTGGCACAGCCAGCGTTCCTACAACATCTCTGCCTGCCCACGTCAGCCTCACTGCTGGGATTTCTCCCCTTTGTGGACTAGAGTTTCCCACCAGTTGGCCCTGCAACCACCTCTGGGCACCACACACACGAGCCCTGCGGCAACCTCACCAAGTCGCCTGGCTTTCGGGGCCCTCCAACTGCCCGTGACGCTCTGTGTCTCCCATCTAGGCTGCCCCTGAGTTCCAGGACTTCCCTACTCAATGCCTCCACTTGGGATGTCCAACAGCTGTCCATTAGGGGTTGAACCATGTCCCCCAAGAAGACACACTAAAATCCTAACACCCTGGGACCTGTGGATGTGGCCTGACTTGGAAACAGGGTCTTGGCAGATGTCATCGAGTTAAGGCGAGACCCCTCATCCAACGGACTGGTGTCCTTCATGAGGAAAACACCACAAGAAGACACAGACACACCAGGAGAAGGCCGTGTGACAGAGTCAGACACAGGCCATGGTGCTCTGAAGACCGGCCGCCACCACCAGGACCAGGAGGCCCAAGAACGGACTTTCCCCAGGGTCCCAGTGGGAGCCCGGCCCTGCAGCCCCTTTGATATCAGACTCCTGGCCTCTGGACTGTGAGAGGGGACATTTCTGCTGTTAGACCACTGGGTCTGCCTGTCACCACGGCAACCCCAGGGAACAAACACTCCATCTCAAGCCTGCCATGTCCAGGATGGAACTCCCGGCACCCCCAGACCTGCCGCGTTCACAGACGTTCCAATCCCCTAACGGGGGCTCTACCACATTGGCTCAGGCCCAACAGCTTGGTGACACCGTCCGCGCTCTTCTCCCTCCTGCCCCACATCCAGCCCATCAGGAAAGTGTGCCGCCCCCTCCTCCAGGCTGTACTCACTGCCCACCCACTTCTCACCATCTCTGCCCATGGCATGACCGTCGCCTGCCTTGCCCAGCCAGGGTCCCTCCTTCCTCCCTGGGTCCACTCCACCCACCGGCCACCATGACCCTACAACAGCATACGCCAGAGCATGCCACTCCCCTGCCCTCCCTCAGCTCGACCGCCCAGTCCATGGTGCCCTGACTTCACTCTGCCTCCGCCACGCTGACTGCCAAGCTGTTCCCTGGACAGTGCAGACTCTTGGCGGGGGCCTCCCCCCGCCCCCCACTGCATGGTCTGTGCCAGTGTAGACGGACCTTGCAGGGTACCCGTGCTCTCCCTCCAGTGCCCCCTTCCGAGTGAATCCCAGCCCGCGGGCACCCCCTCCCTCCACTCCCATGCCGCTCAGCACCTCTGGCGGTAACAGCGGACTGCGAACAGCATGTACAATGTGCCAGGGGCTCCCTACAGGGCTTCAGAGACACGAGCCTGTTTAACTCCCACAACAGCACCACCATGACCCCCACTTCACAGACGGGGCAATCAGATGCTGAGGGGTGCCCTGCCCAGCCATGCCGGGGGCATGGCAGGGCTGGGGCTGACCCATGTTGCCTTCCTTCAAACACTTTCTCTTAACTCACCTACCACTCCCCAGGCTCAGGAGCCCCCTCTCCCCCTGTTGCCCCCGTCTGCCAGCGTGTGGGTCTTGGGCCGGGATCTGTGCCCTTTTGTTCTCTGCTCCGTCTGGGCCGGGCCCAGAGTGGACAGTGAGGTATCTGCTGGAGGAACCGCGAAATGATTCTCAAAGCTAAGATCAAAGACGGTGACGTCGCCCTTGGTAGGAGGATACTCTAGATTGCGGAAAAATAAACAAGGTAGGGTTGGTGTCCCTGAACCTGCAGTGTGTGAGCTCCACACTGATTCCAGGCTGCTGGGCGTCGGACGGCAAGCCTGGTGGCTGCTTCCCTGCTGTACTGGGCGCACAGGCCTTCCCCTGCCGGGGGCCATGGAAACACCAGGGAATTGTCCTGGGAGCCCCTGCCCTGGAGCTCTGGGCATAAGAAATGTGACATCACATCTTCTCAAACCAGAGCCTACTCTGTGAGCTCCCAGGGTGCCCTTCTCGCCACTGAAGATCCTGTCCACAGCACCTGCAGGAACGGCAGCAGACGGACCTGGGGACTGATGGGATCCAAAATGCACTAAGCAGACACCCGGGTGGCTCAGTGGGTTAAGAGTCTGCCGAGGGCTCAGGCTCAGGTCATGATCCCGGGGTCCTGGGATCGAGTCTCACATCGAGCTCCCTGCTCAGTGGGGAAGCTCCTTCTCCCTCTCACTTCTCCCCCGTCTTGTGCTCTCTCTCTCACTCTCTCAAATATATAAAATCTTGTTTTAAAAAAATAAAACACACTAAATAACGAGATGATAAAAGTCACTTTATGCGTCTTGACTTTAGGAAGAGACTTCTGTCTTCTGTCTGCATTTCCTAACACAGAGTCACTCACTAAGGGGCCAGACCCCCCTCCCCTACAGAGAGGTCTGGTATCTCAGACAGCATGCAGCTTGAATCAGAATGATCTGGTTCCCTATTCAAACAGCTGATGCCCAGCAGCCCTGAGCTCCCAAATCACACGTGGATCGGACTGCATCTGAATTTCTCAGGAACATGCAAAGGCGCGCCAAGCGAGTCTACACGTCCACCGACTTGATGGGACAGGATCTGGCGATGGGACGGGATCCCGGGCATCCAAGCCATCTGAGCAGGCAAGCTGGGCACACGAGCTCCATGGGCAGGTCAGTTGCGCGGGCCAGGTAACATTCCATGAGATCGTTGGTGGAGACCGGTTAAGCCTCCAGCACCTCTGGCTCCTGGAGAGGCCAGACTCCACCTCCTCTCCCCCGCTGGTCACCCATCCTGTGGGTTTTCCCAGAGCCAGCTCATTAAGTCACTCAGGTGTGGTCCAAAGGGGCTGGCTTGGTGTTACAGAAGACGCCTTTATCAGTCCTCTCCCCCGGGGGATTCCTGGGGCTTCAGGAGCCCCAGCAGGAACTGGAACAAGACCAGATACAGATTTCTTATAAGTCACAGTACCACAAACAGCCAATGTAAAAAGGGCAAGGATGGGACCTTTGCCCATCCTGGGAATGACGTTCCAAAATGCACCTTGTCGGGCGCCAAGACTTTTTGTCCCAACAGCAGACCCCAGGTCTGAAAGGACGTAAGCTCATCACGGGGCCCTGCATCCAGACTTAAATGGCTCCTGGAGACAAGATGAAGTTTTCCGAAGTTGCCTGGATGAAAGCGTAGAGGTGATGGAGAAGAAAAAGAAACAGGACTCCTTCATGAGGCCAATCAGAGGATTCTATGCTTTAAAAGCAGATAGCGTCACTCGGTGTACGTGTCAAGACGCATCAATCACCCGGAAAATACAGAACCAAACCAATCACCAACTGTACGACGGTGAGGAATATTTAGTTGCTCATTAAAAGTCACAATTAAAGCTCTAGATTCTAACACGAGCATCCTTCTGCCCACACTTGCGTCGGCTGGGAGAGCGCGCCATCTCTGAGTGTTCTGGGGTCTCCAGGCGTCCAGCCCCCAGTAGCCACGTGCAGAAAGGCCGGCCACTGGGGCATCCCACATCTGCCCCAGAGACTCCTGTGCAATATAGCGTGGTCACAA